AGGGGGATGGGTGAACACCCCTCAAAGAAAGGGGCGCGAGGGTCGCCGTGAGAAGCTCGTACAACGACTATGCTAGTCTCAGCTACAGTTAGGCGCTCCTCGAGCAGGTCGACGTTGAGCTCGGTGGGGCAAAGGGAGAGAAAGTGGTCCCTGACTGAGCGAAGAGAGTTAGGGAGACTGGTGTCGAGGTAGAAGAGGGTGATGTACATGGGGGGGAGGTTCTTGGCGCGAAACTCGGAGGGAACCGCAGCGCGGTAGCGGGTGTCACTAGTGCGGAGGTGAGTGATGAGGTCAGCGAATGTGGCAAAGGCGGTCAGGTCAGGGAACAAGTACGGCAGCATGAGGCGGCTGAGGGCAGCAGTGGCAGGGGAGGAGTAGCGCGCAACAACAGCGTCATACAGAGACTTAGCAGTCTTTTACTGGCCAAAGTGCGCGCGCTCAGCAGACGTCAGGTGACTACGAACAGCAAGGCGAGCAACAGCATCACAAGTAGTCCACTGCGAGCGATCCGTACTGTCAGCAGTGGCATCACGTGCAACAGAGGCGCCGGACGTGTGATCGAAAAGCGAGACTCCGTCCCTAGAGTCGCACTGAAGATAGAGCTGCAGATCATCTACCCAAACCTCGAAATCTACCGCACGACCCTCAGCATCGAAGGTAAGAACAGTAGGGCTAGCCATGGCGGCAGTAGCAGCAGCAGGAGCAGTAGCAGCACAGTAGGGCAGGGCGGCACGGTTCAGCAGAGCGGCGCGGCTTGGCAGGGCGGCGCGGCTCGGCAGGGCGGCACGGCTCGGCTGGGCGGCACGGCTCGGCTGGCAGGCGGGCGCGGCGGCGCGCTTATCAGGGCGGGCGCTTAGCAGGGCGGGCGCTTACCAGGGGCAGGGCAGGGCCGCGACGGGCGGTTAGGTCAGGGCCGCGACGGGGCGGCTGTAGGGAAGGGTCGCGTTTGGGCGGCGGTAGAGCAGGGCCGCGACCAGGCGGTTGCAGGGCAGGGCCGCGACGGGGCGGCGGTAGAGCAGGGACGCGACGAGCCGCTGAGGGCAGGGCCGCGACGAGTGGCGGCAGGGCAGGGCCGCAACGGGCGGCGAGGTCAGGCCGCGACGGGCGGCTAGGTCAGGCTGCGATGGGCGGCGACAGGGCAGGGCCGCAACGCGCGGCTAGGTCAGGGCCACGACGGGCCGTTAGGGCAGGGCCGCGACGGGCCGGGAGGGCAGGGCCGCTACGGGCGGTAGTAGGGCAGGGCGCGCGACGGCGCAGGTGAGGCAGGCGCGAGGCACGCTTCGGGCAGGGCAGGAAAAACAATCGTGGTGGGCCCTAAAAAAAACGTTCCCACTAGGGACCTTGCTCTGAAACCATGTCAGAAATTAGGAATGAATGATGACTAGAATGACAGCAGTACAGGGTTTGTATAGCAAAACCTATTTGGGCTGTACCCCATAACGAGTGCCCCACTACAGCCTAGAGCATATAAATGCATAGTTCAGACACAAAACACGTGTGAATCTAGGGGAACCCAGGAAGCGGTGTAAAAGGAGATCAGGGAGTCGAGATGGGAGGGGGTGTCATTTCGGCGGAAAGTTTTTGCGCTTGGCAACCTGATACATCGCATGGTCGCATTCAAGTCGTTTTTGGGCTGCCCAAGGCTTCGATGCATTTTTTCCCGCCTGAAATTGGCATTGTGTGGGGTGTCCAAGTGCGTGTGGTTGGTGTCAGAATCCCAACCACTAGACCATTGGGATAAAATGACTTATTTATGTAGCGGGTCCGTGCGCCCATAACCCCCAAGGCAAACACTGCAGATCCACGCCTGTAACTCCCCTAGGATCAATCGGGGATCTCACAGTTGCAGATCCACTGACCCCCCCCCACTGGGAGGTCCAGGACCGAGTACAGCGGCAACGGCCTACATGTGCATACACCGGGATTCGAACCCGAGACCAATCTAATATCATGTCAGAATCCCAACCACTAAATCATTGGGATAAAATGGTTTTTTTGTAGCGGGTCCGCACGCCCATAACCTCCCAGGAAAACACGCGTGTAACCCCCCTAGGATCAATCGCGGATCTCATAGTGCAGATCTACTGACAATCGGGTCGGGCGAGACCTTGACATTTCGACACGCGTGCGAATTGTTGACAGTGATGGGGCATCGTGCAACTCGTCCGCGAGGTCTGCACGTTCCACGCTAACCAAAGTAAAATACAGCACTGATCGCATTAAGGCGGCGCGCGTTTGTGACACAATACCGTTGATGCTGTTTTTGCATGTCACAAAGTTAGTGGGACAGAAATGTCCCTGCAGGAATGTACCTTTGGTTAGTCCCGAAAACAGTTATCAGCAAAAGGTGGGCCCTTTTTCCAAACGTCAACACCAAAAGTCACATGCCCTAAGAATATTTTTTGTACAGCATTCCTTCGCCAGCTGGAGCGAGTCAAGGAAGTCAGCCTCTGCTTCACGGAGCCAAAGCGTCAGTTAGAGATGACTGGTTGGGTGAGCCGAGCCGTGTCCCTATGTCGCACAGCGATTCCAGCAAGGCGATTTCGGCTGCATTGGTTGGTGGCGTCCTATGCGCGCTGCGCAAATTGCACCGCTGGCTTTGACAACAATCGGCCATTATCTCCTATACTCAGATTTTGTCTGAGCGCGTTCTCAGGTGTAAACACTAACAGAAACATAGTTCTTCGATATAGTGTGAAGCTATTCTGGCTCATGTTTCAATACAGTCACTCAAAAAAAGGAATTCTAGCACTTGCAAAAAAATAAATATAATGCTCGTAGCGAACCTATAGGATTTTTAGGAAGGATCAACCCTAAATACCGAAAGCCTCCCAATATTTTGGAAAACATATTGCAACCCATTTGACCAAAAAAATAATACCCACCTCGGAAAGGGATGCGACTCGGGAGGCATCAACCCTAAAAACAATGCCCATTCCCATGTTTAGGGTTGACCCCTCTCGAAAATGCATCCAGGTTCCCTAGGGGTTTTATTTTTTTCTGCCATGCCCGAATAGGTCTCGGTAGCGTCGTCTAGTGCTTTCGGTAGCGTTGTTTAGCGGTCGGTTGCGCTACCGAGCACTACCAAGTGAATTATATGGGCTTCATTCTCTTACTACCTTAATTTCCGTACATATATCCAAGTCGGGAAGGTAAACTGGATGGTTTTGTTTTTGTGACTTCCTAATGAGTTCGACCAGCGTGAGAAATGTGACTAAAAAGCGACGACCAATAAACGTTGAGAAAGTCCAGGTTGATTACACCTGAAAACGCGCTCAGGGAAAATCTGAGTATCGGAGATAATGGCCGGACAACAATCGCTTGTGAGGTTGGGCAAATGACCCCCAATAGCACTGTCCTGCGCAAGATATTTCTGGCTTTCAATTTACTGCAGTTTAGGGTTAGGTTTGATGATAGATGGTGCACGCCTACCATTTCAGCACATGGACAATGACCTAACGAGCTAATGACCTGATTGTGGTGAAGTTCGATGCCTTGCATAGAAGACACGACCCCAGCCAGGCATACTCGTAGCGACAGTACGCTAAGTAAGCAACGCAGGTCGGGCCTGAGAACGACGGCGTCAAACGGGTGGAGCGAAAACGGGCGATGCGGCGGTGGTGGGCGATGGAAAGGAGAGACGTGGCGTGGAGGGCCGCCGTAGTAGCGTTGCTGGTGGCGCGCTGCTGCATGCCTATCGCACGGGCTGCACCCGTGATGGATCCTGACAGTAAGCCGTGCTGAACCCAGTCACTTTCACTGAATGTGAGTTAATAGTTACTTTTCAGCAAATTTCCGCACTTGTTTCCTCGATCATGATGTACCCTACTCGTGACCGTGTCGAACGCTTGCACTGTCTACGCTCAAATTTCGCCCCTGTGCCGCCGACGGGTGTTCCTGTTGACTGCCGAATTTGTGGTGCTGTGGTGTTTGTCTCATCGTATGACGGGATGGTAATGTGCTGAGCATGACACTTTGACGATGGCACGGTGGTGTGGAGACGCGGTCGCAGAGGATGACACGATGGGCGTAATGGGATGGCATGATGGGATGGCAAGATGGGATGGCGTAATGGGATGGCATGATGGGATGGCATAGTGGGATGGCATGATGGGATGCCGTAATGGGATGGCATGATGGGATGGCGTAATGGGATGGCATGATGGGATGGCGTAATGGGAATGGCATGATGGGATGGCGTAATGGGATGGCATGATGGGATGGCGTGATGGGATGGCATGATGGGATGGCGTAATGGGATGGCATGATGGGATGGCGTAATGGGATGGCATGATGGGATGGCGTAGTGGGATGGCATGATGGGATGGCGTAATGGGATGGCATGATGGGATGGCGTAATGGGATGGCATTATGGGATTGCGTAATGGGATGGCATGATGGGATGGCGTAATGGGATGGCATGATGGGATGGCGTAATGAGATGGCATGATGGGATGGCGTAATGGGATGGCATCATGGGATGGCGTAATGGGATGGCATCATGGGATGGCGTAATGGGATGGCATGATGGGATGGCGTAATGGGATGGCATGATGGGATGGCGTAATGGGATGGCATGATGGGATGGCGTAATGGGATGGCGTGATGGGATGTTTGTTGCATGGCAGTGGGCGTGCTGGAGGACCTGGCATCTGCATGGAGCAGCTTCAACGGCAGGAGCACATGGAGAAGAGGCAGGGGTTGCGACTTCATGACATCTGTCTTCTGCGATTGGGTTGGCCATGTCGTGGCAATGTGAGCATCTTGGCCCATGGCATGGCACGGCATGAAATGTTGGAAATTTGAAACTCATTGTTGGGGCAGTCAGTAGTAGCATCAATATTCTGGATGCACGTGAGCAGTAGTAGTACTCCATACTTGATACCACTCAACATTGGGTCATTCGTCCTACCTCAATCATATTCTACCGTTTTATGCAAATGTCTAGATCGTGCTCCCTGCCCGTATCTTCTGGCTCCCTGTACGACCCATGAGTGCAGCGAGGTGAGCAGCAGCTACATAGTTGGCTCCATTCCAGCGGCCATCACCAACCTCGAGAGCCTCGAATGGCTGTGAGTGGGACAAGGGTGTAAGCGAGACGAGGTTGTGAGTTGGTCAAGGGTGGGTGGTCACGTCAGGTGTATGGCCTTTTTTGGTTTGAGCCAAGAATTTGCTTTGTTCAGTTAGTGGTTTCGTGGAGCAAGCCAGGCACTCATTCTGATCCACTTTGCATCATGCAACAAACACCTCCACTTCCTTCCCCCCGATCGAACACTTATGCCTAGCTAGCTCTACTGCCTTCTTCCCCTATAATGAGCGCTGGATTCATTTCAATCTCCCTGTCCGCATCGGCCGAAATAAAAGCAATAGAGGGGTTATGCTTGATACCTCCTGCCCTCAGCCATATGTCCCTGGTGCTCTGCCCAAGGGCTCATTATTCTGAGCTCATTTTTGCTCCTCTTCCTTCCCTCTCGCAGCTCCATCACCGACAGCGGTCTGAATGGGTCTCTGCCTGCTGATCTCTTCACCATGCCCAGTCTAACAGACCTGTGAGACTCCTGCTCCACCAATTTCTTCCCACGCCGTGGCTGCCTGCTGCCCGTGCCCGCAGCACATCGCCCCTGTGCCGCACCATGTGCATGTGATGCACAAAGTCGATTCGTTTGTTGCACTGATTACTTGCTTCGAGGACAGCGTGCGCGCACAGGTTTAAATGGCCGTACCGATTGCATGCGTGTGTGCACGGGTCCATCCATGCAGTATTCTCTCAGGCAACCAACTCACGGGCAGCATACCAGACACTGTGGGAAATGCAGTGGGCCTCCAAACTCTGTCAGTCCCCTATTCTACCTCCATGTCACGCCTCAACTGCTTCCTGTTCTCCGATGCCACCACTCACATGCGTCAAGCTCGTCGAATGCGCCACCTTCGTGGCTCCTACTCCTTCCATTTTCTACTCACGTTCTCTGCGTTTGCTTCATCCCCATGTGGGTCTTGTTCCCTCCCTGATACCATTCACTCCGTGTGCAGAAATTTGGCGAGGAACAATTTCTCAGGTTCCATCCCAGCCTTCCTCCGCAGAAACCTCAGACTGAAGGCCCTGTGCGCCCTCCTTGAAACCCCTCTCTGTTTCCGAGCAGCAGTACAGACACCTCACTTATGATCGCACTTGACATACATCCCTGCACCCATGGCATCTGCTGCAGCACCCATGATTCCATAGCAGCCCTCGCATTTTCGTCTTCGTGCTCGGTCCTGCGTCTCTCCACTCCATGACTGTCCCCCCCCCCCCCCCCCCCCCCCCTCCCCCCCCGTACTTCCCTGGGGCCCCGGGGAACCAGTGTGCTTGAGTACAACCAGTTCACAGAGTCGATACCAGATTCCCTTGGGGACCTCACCAACCTCCAAGCGTTGTGAGCACTGCGCTGTGCTTGTGGGTTTCTTGCCCTCGTAGGAATCGTACAAGCAGAGTGGTGAGCTGAAACCACATGACAATGCAGGACGAGTAAGAGCATGAGGAAGAACGGCAGGGCATGGGACAGCTTCTGGGGTTTGGGAGAGGTGAGGAACGATGAGCAGGGAAGGGAACGGGGTGGAGTGGTGGAGATTGATGGGTGGGAGACAGCAGGGCCTGGAACAAAGTGCGACTAATCATGCTGGATGTACTCCCCTCCCCCCCCACCCCACCTCCTCCCCCCCTCCCCTCCATGTTTTCCTCTATCCATGTCCCCATGTCTGCCATACTTCTTGCTGCTTGCACGGTGCACCCCACAGGGCCTTGATAGGGAATTTGTTGACTGGACCAATTCCACCAGCGCTGGGAAACTGCACTTCTTTGACTTTCCTGTACGCATGTGACATTCCCACCTTTGTCATAACCTCCCCCTTCTTCCATTCCCATTCCCTAGGCTACTAAACGTTGTCACTTTCTTGTTTCTGTGTTCTCTTATCCCCTCTTGAAAACTCCCTGCCTACTTGTCGCTCCCAATACTCCTCCTAGCGCCTTTTGTGTGTTTGTTGATTCCACCCCATACTGAACTCCCCTCACATTTTTCTAACCATGCGCCCTCTTGTCTGCAGTAACGTGGGCCAGAACAATCTCTCGGGGACCATCCCTGGCAGCCTTGGCAACCTTCAACGCCTGCGGCTCTTGTGAGCCGATGCAGTCCAGCGGGGAACAGGGAGGGATGGAGGTGGAGGGAGGGGTCGGTGAATGGAAGGGAATGTTCTGATAGCAAAAAGGAATGGGTGGGGGGAGGTCGTAAGGGTGGGTAATGCAACCTAGCGATTCTTACAAGATCACCAACATTCATTGCTGATGTCCCCACGCTCTCTACACGGCTTACAAGCAATGCACCCATGGAGCAATAACAAGAAGTTGGTGCAGACGAAGGAAACTGTTTGACAAACCTGAGTGGCATGTTGCAATGCACCCTTGGTGTGTGCAGGTCCTTGCCAGAGAACACACTCAGTGGATCGCTGCCTAACGAGCTGTCACGGCTGCAGCAGCTGAGCCACTTGTACGGGTTGTGCGGGCGGAGTGTGCCCCATGTTCAGAGCAGCAGGAGTTTATGAGGGGACACCGCCCTGCCCCACGCGCTTGTGTCTCCTTCTGTTCTCCTTTCTTCGCCCTCTCTCTCAGCTTTTTCTGCCCCGTCACTATCCTGGGAGCTGTCTATTGGCGTTCCTCTCATTGCTGTCATTAGTGATTGTTTCAAGAACACATGCATACAAGGGCAAACTTTGGGATGACTATAGTTGATGACAAGACAAATGCAATCCGGTCACCGATGGTCCCTCTCAGAACATCATCAACTCAATGTGCTATGCTCGTTGCCCATTGGTCTTATGACTGATAGGGACGTGTTCAGAAATGCCCTGAGTGGGGAGCTGCCTGCATGGGTTGACAACATGAAGAGCCTGACATTGCTGTGCGTGCGACCATACGTGCCACCATGCCAGCGCCACGATGGACGCCACCATGCACACCATGCATGCCACCATGCATGCCACCATGCACACCATGCATGCCACCATGCACACCATGCACACCATGCACACCATGCATGCCACCATGCATGCCACCATGCACACCATGCATGCCACCATGCATGCTACCATGCACACCATGCATGCCACCATGCATGCCACCATGCATGCCACCATGCACACCATGCATGCCACCATGCATGCCACCATGCACACCATGCATGCCACCATGCATGCCACCATGCATGCCACCATGCACACCATGCATGCCACCATGCATGCCACCATGCATGCCACCATGCACACCATGCATGCCACCATGCATGCCACCATGCATGCCACCATGCACACCATGCATGCCACCATGCATGCCACCATGCACACCATGCATGCCACCATGCATGCCACCATGCATGCCACCATGCATGCCACCATGCACACCATGCATGCCACCATGCATGCCACCATGCATGCCACCATGCATGCCACCATGCATGCCACCATGCATGCCACCATGCATGCCACCATGCATGCCACCATGCATGCCACCATGCATGCCACCATGCATGCCACCATGCATGCCACCATGCATGCCACCATGCACACCATGCATGCCACCATGCATGCCACCATGCATGCCACCATGCATGCCACCATGCATGCCACCATGCATGCCACCATGCACGCCACCATGCATGCCACCATGCACACCATGCATGCCACCATGCGTGATTGTCATCATGGTCATTGCACGCATCCCAATACAAGCACCTCAGATTCAACTGTTTCCTCTCCAGCCCCCATCTCGCCTGTCGTGTCTCTAGGCCCTATGCCCCTCATTCCATAGTACGCGTATCCTTTGCGCTGCTTTCACCATTTATTCCTCTCCTATTCCTCCTATTCTTGCCTGCCATCCATTTCCATCCATCCTCTCCTTTCTTCTGTAACCTCCTCCCCTCCTCCCTCCGAGCACCAGATCCCTGACTTTCAACATGTTCAGCGGCTCCCTTCCGGACACATTGGGCAACCTGAAAATGTTGTCGCACCTGTGAGCGAGCCCAGAGGTGGAGCGGAGTGCACACACGAGCTAGCATGAGCGGAGCTAGTGGCAAAAGGAGTTTCACGTGGGCTTGTAGGCTGGCCAGCAGGAGCAGTATTCGCAGAAGGGCAGGCCAAGTTAGCACACTTCAAGCAGAGAAAGTTGAGTAGTTCAGGGGTGCTGTTTGAATGATGCACCTGCAGTGTGGAGTGGAGTCTCTTCCAATTAAGGTTGAAGCATAGGTTTCATAACTTCCTCCACCCCCCTCCCCTCCTCCCCCCCCCCCACCCCCTTCCCCCCTCCCCCTCTCCCCCCCCCTTCCTCCCCCCTCCTTTTCTCCCTCCCGCCACCCTTCTTTCCCCAGGTGGCTTGATATCAACAGGTTTTCAGGAAGCATCCCCGAATCGATTGGAGACCTCACAGGACTCTCCACATTGTAAGGTGGTGGGGCGCAATGGGTGGCCCATTTCAACAGCATGGACATTGGTGACACACCATGTTGCATCGTGTGCAAATCCATGGCACTGCACTACCATGACACATGGCAGGACCCTTGATCGCAACATTCTGTTTGGCACCATCCCTGCATCCCTGGCCAACCTCCAGCAACTCATTATCATGTGCGCCACTCCACCTCCCTCTTTGTTGTGTCTAGCAATGTTTCACGTGTGCTTGGTCACTTCGGTAACTGGCAAGGTGCAAGTAAATAATGTTCCCCTTACGTGAATGAGTGTCAATGGGAAGTTCACAGAGTCGAGGGGAAAGCGCTGTTTTATATATCTTGCGGTGAAATGGAAGAAAGGGGAAATAATTCTGCTGCTGTTCAGGCATGGCTTCTCAAAGATAAGTGGGCGACGGTGCACGGCTCTTGTAAGGGTAGTTTACAAAGTCACTCATGAATGTTTCCGTTCTTTGTGAACCACTTGGAAATGATTCAAGCATCGCAGGTCAATGCCGTATAACCTCCTCGTCGGAACGATACCTGCAGCCTTCAGCACTCTCACTCGACTCCACCAGCTGTACGTGCGCTCGCATGGTTCCTGTGCCCTGTTTGGGACCGGGGACTGCACAGAGCACACGTTCCACTCCCCTGCATCCTCCACAGCCCTCTTAACCACTGGTCGCTTCAGCCTTTTCTCGTCAGCAGGTTCTCTCAGCTTCTCTTTGGCATCCACCACATGCCACCGTTAGTCACTGGTCAATGCCTGCATACACATGCATGCATGCATGCACACAAGCACGCCTGCACACAAATGCATGCACGTCTGCACACACATGCATGCACGCACGCGCATGCACACACACACACACACACACGCATGCACGCATGCACGCACGCACGCTCGCACGCACGCACATGCATGCACACACAAATACACTCAAAACCGCTCACACGCACATGCACTCTCCTTTCTCTATCACATGCCACCACTGTGCACACTGCTAGTCGACCAGTATGTCGTGTGTTTGGGGATTGCACCCTAGATGGTGCTCGTCAATGAATTCCCTTGTTTGACTTTAACCCAGAAATATGGTTGGTTCCTTAGGCTAACACACTCGAACCTAGTGTCCTGGTTGAACTGCCAGCAGCATTTGAGGTCTGATGTAGAGGTAGAATCCCCCTCACCCCTTTAAGTCTATGTCACCTCCTGTGTGCTCTCTCGAAGCCTTTGGCTAGTGCAAGCTATTCATTCGACCACCAACCCGATCAACCATCAAAGGAAGGATCCTCACACAGTCCTGCTGCATTTCCGCCCTTTCCTCCAACCCTGCTTCACCTTCTCAAACCCCACCCATCACTCACCCCCATTCGAACACCCCCCCTCTTTCCATTCCCCCTCCCCCTTCTTCCACACTAAACCCCAATTGAAACCTTCGCGGCCCAGCTACCTGCAGTCGAACCAGCTGGTGGGGCAGCTGCCGTCCATGAAGCTGATGCCACGGCTGGAGATCGTGGATGCAAGCAACAACTTCCTCACGGGCGCAGCAGGCCCTCCCCCACCATGCCCTCCGTACCAGCTGCTGCTGCAAGCCAACTGCTTTGCCCGCAACCTCACCATCTGTGGGCAGCAGCAAACGCAGGATCTCACTGATTGTTATTACTTCTGTGAGACCGTTGACCCCTTAGACCCTCTGTGCAGTGGCCACGGCGTGTGCTACATACCGCCTTTCAGCACTCCCGAGTGTTCTTGCGACTACGGTTACACACAGGGAGCTGCCAATTACACATGTGTCCCAGAAGGTACGACTAGCAGACCCCATTTCCTCACATTGTGTACTCTCGAAGTGACCCTGTCTTAAGTGATACATGCTTCTTCAATGCGCCATTTACCCTGTTCGCTGATTCCTCAGTGTCTTCTCAATGCCACATGGAATACCATCGTTATCTGCCTTTCCTTCCATCACTAAAGATACAATCTGTATCCTCCTCCCTTTCTGTTCATGTCTACTACTGTCATCAGGGCCGTACATCCCTTCCCTCCTCACTTCCTACAAAAACCCAATGACTGTCTTCCAGTCGGCCTCCTCTACTCCCAACGGCTCCATCTTTCTCTCCTTAGCACCATCCACTGCATCATGGGGAGCAGCCTTCACACAGCAGCCTATCCTTCTCTTCCTCCCCACCACCCGCGCAACACCCTGCATCATGCCCATATCCTTCTCTGTCTATTTCTCCTTCCGAATGACCCGTACTGCAAGGGATGCTGGTGCAGACAGCAGCAGCAGCAGCAGCAGCAGCAGCAGCCCAGGGGGAGAGGGGCTGGCGTTCGTGGTGAGTGCAGCGGCACCACAGGGGACAGGAGCCAGTGTGGGGCTGGGAGGGGTGGGGAAGCGGAGTGTGGCGGTGGAGTTTGACTCAGTGCTGAGTGTGAAGCACAGCGACCCCAACGACAACCACGTGGGCGTCAATGTGGGGGGCTCACCTGTGTCCCTCGCCTCTGCCACGGCCCCTCTCATCCTCAACGACGCCCACACCAAGCACGCCTGGATCCACTACGACCCCACCAGCGGCGGCACTCTCCGAGTCTTCCTCTCAGCCTCCAGGAGGAAGCCGTCCAAGGCTGTGGTGACAGCAAGAGTGTCCCTGTGCAGCGTGCTCAAGCTCACCATGGGGGATTCCTCCTTCCTCTTTGGCTTTGTGGCCACCTCTGCGAACAACACTCAGAGGCATGACATCCACTCCTGGAAGATTGTCACTGGTAATATGCCATCTGCAGTGCAGCTTCACACGAGAGGACGAATGAGCAGAAATGAACACATTTACAGATGTCCTTGTGCCCTCTTGTTGCGGTACGTCTTTATCTTATTCGTTCTAAGCATTGCGTTACGTGGTGTGTGTGCATGGAATCATGCGTGGGCATGTCGTATCACCTCCACACGTGGTGGCTGTGCAGGTATACTCCTTTCTGTGGACTGGCAGAACAAGCCTCCTGGTGAGCTCTTCGCTCCTCAATGTTCTTCCTCCCGTGATCTGCAGTGCCGTCTCCTGCATTTCAATGTTGACATTATATTCACCTTATCCATTCAATTCAAGAATCTGCTTGAATCAACTGATGCACACCAGCCCTGTTTGTCTCCTCGATCCACCACTGCGCTCCAACAGGCAGTAAATTTGGTCTTGTGGCATCGGCAGAGGAGGTGGCAGTTGGCAGTGAGGGCGAGAGTGTGCCCTCCTCCTTCCACTATGCCAGCCTTGCCTTCCTCCCCAATGCGGATGGGCTGCCTTCCTGGAACCTTCCCTCGTTCGTGTCGTGGATGCGGGACGAGTCTTCATGGCCTGTTAAGAACCAGCATGGATGTGGTATGGCATGGATCCGGTATGTCATGGATGCGGTATGTCATGGATGCGGTATGTCATGGATGCGGTATGTCATGGATGCGGTATGTCATGGATGCAGTATGTCATGGATGCCGTATGGCATGGATGCGGTATGGCATGGATGCGGTATGGCATGGATGCGGTATGGCATGGATGCGGTATGGCATGGATGCGGTATGGCATGGATGCGGTATGGCATGGATGCGGTATGGCATGGATGCGGTATGGCATGGATGCGGTATGGCATGGATGTGGTATGGCATGGATGTTGTATGGCATGGATGTGGTATGGCATGGATGTGGTATGGCATGGATGGGGTATGGCATGGATGTGGTATGGCACGGATGTGGTATGGCACGGATGTGGTATGGCACGGATGTGGTATGGCATGGATGTGGTATGGCATGGATGTGGTATGGCATGGATGCGGTATGGCATGGATGCGGTATGGCATGGATGTGGTATGGCATGGATGTGGTATGGCATGGATGTGGTATGGCATGGATGCGGTATGGCATGGATGGGATATGGTGTGACCCATTGACTGTACCACTGAGCATGCTCACCCTCATCAGCACCTCACTAGCAGCCCTCCTTCCCTTCCCTGCGCGCCCCTCCCTGCATGTCCCTCCCTCCATGTCCCTCCCTGCGTGTCTTTCCGTGAATGTTCCTCCCTGCACGACTCCCCTTTGGCTGCAGCTGACTCCTCGGCGTACGCAGTGGTGGCAGCGGTGGAGGCAGCCTACAGCATCGCAGCCAACTGGTCGCAGCCCCCCACGCTGTCGGTGGACCAGCTTCGCCTCGCCCTCTCCTCCAACTGTGAAGACGTTCCCCCTCGGGATGTGCTCGCCTTCCTGGTGGCTGCCACGCGCAAGGGAGGGGGGCTTGTGGATGACGCAGCAGCAGCGCAAGCGATTCAGCACAGCATGGTGTCTGCGGGCCGGCGGGAGAGGCTGCTGGTGAGTCGAGGCCAGGCGAGAAAAAGTCTCCTTCAGTTAATTAGTATTACTCTGTACAAACCTGATCCCTACTTTGTTTTCATCATTGCGAATATCAGCCTCCACCTCGCCCTCTTCTGCCTTACCCAACTTTCAGAAGCCCAAGCTATATGGGATTCAGGGGTTTGAGGAGAGCTCGTTTGGTGGATGGCTGGGACTGCTCCTGGCAGTGCAGCGGCAGCCCGTGGTCGTGAGAATAGAGGCATCCGCAGCATCGTTCCTCGAGTACAATGGGGTGAGATACCATTGCTCTGTGATGGGGTGGGATATTATGGCTCGTTGATGTCCTGAAGAGCCTTGGCTTTGAGCAGGTCACACGTGCACTTAATAGACCTACGAGTGCACTTACTTAATTTGTCATCCAGAAATGACAAATTCATGAATTTCATATTGGTTTCCAGGTGACTCAACTTGAGCTGCCTTTTCCACTCCTTTCGCTGCTCCCACCCCATCATACAGACATATAAATATGCAGACAGCGGCTGTTTCCAGGAAGGGGTGAACCACGCGGTGCTGCTGGTGGGCTTTGCTGTGGAGGGCAGTGCGTCCAGCCCCTTCAGCCTGCCTGCGCCTCTCTGGGTGATCCGCAACTCATGGGGCAGCGGGTGGGGACACGCAGGGCACATGGTCATGGACATGCAGAGCGGTGCAGGCGTCTGCGGGATCAACACACTGCCAGGCATCTTCCCCATCCTCAGATGTACGCTCAGGGTCAACAAATCAGGGCTCCGTGTGTGTTGGAACCTCTGCGGACGCGGAGAGAGCAACACCTGCTGTGCTGCTGCTGAGGGTCAAATGCATCTCTTTGCCTCTTTGTATGCCAGGAGGAGAGCTAGTGGCCGCGGTGGCAACAATGCCCTGCCATGCACCACGCATGCTGCTGTATTATCCATGCTACTTCTGCTGTGTGCGTGTGGTGCGTGGCGTGTCTCTGGCAGCTGCTGCTGACCCGTGTGGCAGCAAATCCATGGTGTTAGAAGGGTCTCTGGGAGGGGCAGGGAGCAACGCATTCAACCCGTGTGGGCAGTTCAAGTGCTCCAAGGCCGGAGCATCCAACCGCTGTGCCTGTGCTGCTCCCCACTTCGTCCAGGCCTCCCACCAAGACGGCTCCAACACCTGCGCCTATGGTGAGCCCATAGCAACTCTCCCGCACAGTCTCCACCCTCCTGAGATATTTCTCTGTATCTTACACTTCATAAACTCCTGCTCTCTCCTTCCTTCCTGCCTATGCCTGTCAGTGGACGCCTGTGGGCTGGCAGGCAGCAACCCGTGTGTGGTGGGCACGTGTGTGAATGATGGCAAGGGCAGCTACTCGTGTGTGTGTCCTCCGGGGTTTGTTCAAGGCACCACCGCCAAGGGAACCCTCTCTTGTGCTCCTGGTACGCTCCTCTTTGCCCCTCTTCTGCCCTTCCTCGCCCCTCTGCTGCTCCTTCTCGCCTCTCTGCAGCTTCCCCGTGCCCCTCAGCTGTTCCTCCACTAATGATCATCGGCTGCTGCTGCTTCTTGCCTCTCTGCCTTTAACTGCTACGCTCTGGGATGATTAAGTTGCTGCCAAAAATGTTCAAGGCAGTTCCGTGCTCTGCTGATGTGCATCGTGTGCTAACACGCATGCTGTGGTGATGCATGCAGGTGACAGCAAGGGCAGCTACACGGTGCGTGGCAGCAATGTGTGGTGCTCTGACTTGATCCCTGTTCTTGGCCTCACACTGGACCAACTGAAGCAGCAGAACAAGGTGAGCATGCGTCTCCATGATAACATGAAGACTAAACTCTACTACCGTGTTATGTAAGCTCACATCATGGAACATCCTCTGGTCCTTCGTGCATGCAGAAGTTCTCTTGTTCCAAGCCCTTCCCACTGGGCTCCAAGCTGAGTGCCAAGCTGCCTCAGTCACGTTCCACCTGCTCCCTCTTCTACACCACCCACCCTGTGAGTGTGCCCACCCCGTCCCACATCCCTAACCCTTAACTTCTGTCCTGCTTGCATGGAGTGACCCTGCCACAGTACTTGCCAGACTGTGTGAGACAGCAGTGATAGTCATTCCACTCATCCCTGTATCGTGTGCTGTGTGCAGGGCGACAGCTGTGCATCGATTGCAGTGCTGTTCGGTCTGAGCGAGGGGTGCCCCGTGGAGGGCGAGCCATGTGAGGAGGTGTTGGTGGGGCTCAACCCTGGGCTAGACTGTGCTGCACTCAAGGGAAGGCATGCCGTGTGTGTGGAGCGGGAGGAGAGCAACACGGGGGTGGTGGCAGTGTGTGAGGAGCAGTATGAGCTGCAGGGCAGTGGCAGCTGTGATGCTGCACGATTGGCTGTGGACCCTCCTTTGAGCCCCTTGGAGTTCTATCGCCTCAACCCAGGCATTAACTGTGACAACCGCCTGCCGATCGTTTCAGTAGAGCGCTACTCGCAGCGCAAGGTGAGCAGCGCTAAATGATGCCTGGTCCTAACACACAGTCGAGTCCCGCATTGCCAGCTCAACGGGGTTCTCATCCACCTGCCACCCTTGCACCTCTGCTGCAGGTGTGCATTGGCAGCAGTGTATGGTACAAGACTGGCACATGTCCAGGGGGCACCTACAGTGTTGCAGCTGGAGACAGCTGTGCCATGATTGACGTGAAGGGGTTTGCCAGCATCAAGGGCTGCTACAGGAAGATGAATGGCTTTGAGTGTCTGGAGAAGATGCCCACTGGGACAATTGTGTGCACCCCTACTTCCAATGCCCGGGTGGGGAATTGCTCAATGTAGGAAATAATCTGAGTTCCTTCCTTTTGGCATGGTATAACAAAAAACTGCCAAAATGAGATACACGCGGAGGGAAGGAGAGTAAGCTCATTACATATGCCAGGAGGAACAAGGGTCAGGGGGTGTCACCTGCTGGAAGAAAGGGGATAGAAAAGTGAGAAGGGTGGAGGAGAGAAAAGGGAGAGAAGGCTTCAATGAGAAGGGAGGTTCAGCCGGACTTGCATCACGACATATAACAAAAAACTGCCAAAATAAGGCACCCCTACCCACATAAGCTGCCCGAGGCGCTTCTTTACTATGCCAAGTGGCTCAATTGGGTGTGGCTGGTGCGGTGCTTTAATTTGGCACTACCTGCCCTGTCGGCGTGTGCCTGATGTGAACCATCTTTTTTAGAAGGGGGAATAGTGTAAGGAGATTGTCATTCCCTATTGGGTTTACACTACACCAATTCAGATCAGATGTCCAGGTTTGGTTCGGTTTGATGACATCGCTTTTCAAATCTCTCCCGAGTCACCCTTCAGAATTGGCGATCTCCAAACAAGCTCCCAACCTTTAGGGCGTATACACTAGCGCTCGGAAAGATTCGAACTTTTATGGTAACAAATTTTGTGCATTTCGCGAAAAGCCTTCGCGAGGATTTTTTGAAGAAGTTGACACTTTTCGAGTTTGACGTGTTCGAATCTGAATTCCCACCAACATTCGTATAGCACTACAGAGCGCGGCTCGAGCTCCAACTGTCAAGATAGCAAGCATGAATGATTGCATTGAATGAATTGTGGGTACAAGTACTAACCCTAACTTCGGGTTGTACCCCATATGGGCTACCCCATATATAGTTTGACACACCCCCATAGGCAAAGTGGGGGAGAACAAGGGGTCACAAGACCAGTCAAGAAAGCAAAGCAAGCTCGGGGTGGATCACAACGTCACCACACACTCGAGCACAAACAAAGGGCCACAAGACCAGTCAAGAAAAGCAAAGCAAGCTCGGGGTGGATCACAACGTCACCACACACTCGAGCACAAGCAAAGGGCCACAAGGCCAGGTCACATGCAGAGGTATATATGCAGCAACAACAGTACAGTGATCACTACCTAGCAAGAGCAAGCATGCAGGTATATACACAGATCACAGTACAAGCAACGTCACGAAGTGAGCACGTGAGGCGAAACAGGCACAAGGCCTAACATAGTACAGAAGCGCTAATGATCACCAGACGGAAGTGCCTTGGTGAATATATCAGCAGTATTGGCCCGAGTGGCCACGTGAGGAAGACGAAGCTGACCACGCTGCTGCAACTCTCGAGCCAAGAAGTAACGCAGAGCGATGTGCTTCGTTCTGTGCTCCAGTCTGTGCTCCTGACACAAGGCAATGGCGGCCTTGTTGTCTACGTACAGAACTGGAGGAGAACGAGGCCGCTCTCCCAAGTCAGTCAGCAGGTAGGTGAGCCAGCGTAACTCCTGTGCAGCCATGGCTGTGGCGTAGATCTCAGCCTCACAACTGGAGCTGAGAACAGAAGACGAGCGGGTAGACCGCCAAGAAACAGAGCCACAGCCAAGGCCGAAAGTGTAACCCTGTGACGTCCGCTGCGTAGCCAGGTCATGAACCCAAGAAGCGTCTGAGTGTCTAGTGAGGACAACTGAGCTCCGCCCTCCAAGCACGAGCCCCATGCCCGATGTACTGCAGAAGTAGCGCAGTACCCTCTTCGCAGCATCCATGTGCACCTTTCGGTGCCTACCAGGAGCCACGTAACGTGCCAGAAGGCCAAGAGGGTACGCAAGGCCAGGACGAGTGCAGGTCATCAGGTGCATGAGGCACCCCACTAGCTATGGGTACGGGCCACTCGGCTCTACGGACTCTTCCGAAGGTGGAGCTGAGAGCGAATGACCTGTAGCCAGAGGAGTAGACTGTGGCGAGGACCAAGTGAAGTCGAAGTGCTGAAGGACCTGCTGCACCATGTGTGACTGAGTCAGGGTGATGGTGCGGCGTGATCTGTCCCGGGTGATCTACAAGCCAAGGTAACTGCGCAGCTCACCCAGGTCTGTGCACGTGTGTCTCTTCTGCAGCTCCGACTTCACAAGGGCGAGAGCCTCAGTGTCAGCAGTGGCAAAGTCCAAGTCGTCGACGTACATGAGGATGTAGAACGGCGGCAGTGAAGTGTCGGTGCGTAGAAACAGCGACGGGTTAGCAGTGGAAGGTGCAAACCCAAGAGCCGCAAGTCTCGTCCTCAGTGTGTCGTGCCACTCACGAGGCGCCTGACGGAGACCGTAGACTGGCCGACGGAGGCTCCACTGGGTACCAGGAGGGAACGACCCAGTGAAGCCTGGTGGGCGGCACAGCCAGATCTCCTCGTGCAGACTGCCCTATAAGAACGCTGTGCTGAAGTCCAGAGAGTGAAGCTCGTAGTCACGCTGAGCGGCAACGTGCAGCAGCACCCGAAGAGTGGTCATCTTCGGGGTCGGGGAGAAGGTCTGGAAGAAGTCAACTCCCTGTCGCTGACTGAAGCCTCGTGCAACGTAAGGAGCCTTGAAGACAGGCGGAGAACCCGGCGGCCGCTTCACCCTGAAAATCCACATGCCATCGACGATGTTCGCCCCAGGAGGGGGAACCTAGTGCCTGTAGACTTCCATGATGCCATCTCTGCGTTCATGGCTGTCTGCCACTGAGAGGAGTAGGGACCCGCGATCGCCTCAGCGTAAGAACGCGGAGTCGGGATGTCTGGTGCATCCGGGTCTTCCTCAGGGGCAAGCAGCATGGCCACGAGATGAGGCGCAGCGGCTGCAAGACACTCAAAGTCCTCCTGCCTGTCCTCAAGGATGTCCGTGCCAAGAGCACACTCACCCCCGAGGAACGGAGGACAGACAGACTTAGACTCAGCAACAAGACTAGCAGCGTAGTCTAGACGACAGGCAGCAGCAAAGTCAACAAGCTCAGAGACTAAGGCAGACGCAGCAGCAGACTCAAACGACGGGTCAGTGACAACAGTGGCGAGCAGACGCGTGAGAGTAGGGTGAGCAGCACGAACCAGGTCAGACTCAGGGTCCTGAACGTCAGGCAGAGAAGACGAAGGAGGAGACGGTAGGGGAACACGCTGTGGAATAGAGGAAGGACGAAGTGCCATAGCGTGCGTGCCAGGGACAGGAGGCGGACGCTCACGAGGAACACGACGACGAGTGCGACCAGCGCGAACAGGCGAGGCAGGACGAGACGCAGGCTCACGACGCTCTGTAAGCGAGTTTGTCTGCTCAGTGTACGGAGAAGGAGCAGGCAGTGGTGCGCCGGGCTGTAACGGGAGGCCATTGGAAGACGGGAGGCTAAGAACCTGGCGAAGCACGGAGTCAGGCGGTGGCAGAGACGACGGTGACGGCGGAGCGAAAAACAGTCGCGACGGTGCAGTGCCACCAGTACCAGTAGCTCCAGCGCCTCCAGCAGCTCCAGAACCTCCAGCTCCAGTGCCTCCAGCAGCAGCACCTCCAGCTGCAGTGACTCCAGCAGCAGCACCTCCAGCTCCAGCGCCTCCAGCAGCTCCAGCGCCTCCAGCAGCTCCAGCGCCTCCAACAGCCCCAGAACCTCCAGCTCCAGTGACTCCGGCAGCAGCACCTCCAGCTCCAGCGCCTCCAGCAGTAGCACCTCTAGCTCCAGCGCCTCCAGCAGCTCCAGAACCTCCAGCTCCAGCGCCACCAGTAGCAGCACCCCCAGAACCGGCACCTCCAGCCTCAAGGTCCCCAACTCCAGGGTCGATAGGACCAGCACCAGGGCCTCCAGCAGCAGCACCCCCAGAACCGGCACCTCCAGCTCCAGGGTCTCCAACGCCAGGGTCGACAGCACCAGCTCCAAGGCCTCCAGTCCCAGTACCTCCAGCAGCAGTACCCCCAGAACCGGCACCTCCAGCTCCAGGGTCTCCAACGCCAGGGTCGACAGCACCAGCTCCAGGGCCTCCAGCCCCAGTACCTCCAACAGCAGCACCCCCAGAGCCGACACCTCCAGCTCCAGGAGTAGTACCAGTCCCGGCAGCGCCAGTACCTCCAGTACGAGCACCTCCAGAACCAGAGACACCAGCACTCCCAGCGCCTCCACGACAAGCAGCTCCAGCAGCACGACTCCTCAGGCGGGTACGCGACGCAAGCCACTCTCGTGCCTGCTGTGGTGAGACAGGCCCGCGTCGTGAAACGAGACCCTGAGGAACGCTAGCAGACTCAGTACCCCCAGGCTCCGCACCCCTCGGCACCTCACGGATGGGCTCAGCACCCCCAAACTCCGCAGCCGCAGGCTCAGCACCCCCAGGCTCCGCACTCCCCAGCACCTCACGCGTAGGCTCAGCACCCTCAGAAGCAGCACCCCTTGCAGCACCTCCCGCAGCAGCACCTGAGTCGCTAGTGACCTCTACAGGCTCAGCCAAGGGGGGCGGGTCTACCTGAGACACACCTGAAGGAGCAGGACCCTGAGGGGGGAGGGGGTCTACCTGAGGGGGACCTGGAGCGAGGAAAAGCGGCGGGGGAGGGAGAGGGGCAGTGCGGTAGGGGAAGAGACGGTAGAAAGGAACCGACTCGTCAAAGGTGACGTCCTGAGAGGGGAAGACACGGCGCGAGGTGGGGTGGTAAAACTGCCAGCCAGGCGCGTCAGGAACAAAGCCAAGGAAGACACAGGGAATGGTGCGGGAGGAGAGCTTGTCTGCGGACGTATCGCGGACAAGGGCACGAGCACCCCAGACCCAGAAACGCGACGCATCGCCAACCTCCCCCGTCCAACGCAGTGTGGGCGAGGTCTCCGGCAAGGAGACACGCGGCCAGAGGTTGAGCTGCTGTGCGGCGTACCGGACCGCAAACGGCCACAGAAAATGGGGAGCCGCCGCATGAATCAAGGAGGTACGAGCGGCCTCCATGACTAAGCTAATGCGGCGCTCAGCAACTCCATTTTGCTGTGGTGAGCCCGGAAGCGTGAACGACTGCTCGATGCCCTCCCCCTGATAGAAGGCCCGCAAGAGGTCGGAGGTGAACTCACC